GTGCTGTGGGCCTGGGATAGATCAAATCAAACCCATGTAGTGTGAAACCCTGCCCCATAACCGCATTATGTTGCGGCAAGGATAGTCACCTCGGACTGGACGGGTGGAATTTGCCGATCCACATTGATCCTTCCCAGTTTTTAAAACTGAGAACATGATGAGTGCTCAGAAGCTGATGTTTGGGTGAGGACTTTTGTCCTGCTCATGATACTGCTATTAGAGCGAAATGCGTGCCGGCCCAACATTCTTGTTACGTTCAGGGCGCATAGAACACTCTGACCCACCCCACCTCCTCTCTCGATTAAAAACACTCAAATACAGTGAGGTTATCGTCCGCCTTACCGTACGCCAGATATATTTATTATTGTATCTCTGGTGGGTGGGGGGCTCCTCCTGCTCGAAAGGTATTTGTCTGTACAAATGTCCCAGTATACTGCCCGCTTTGTATTTCTGTGTGCGATGTGATACCGCCGAGGCAATAGTAATTTTTAACCCCATCTATATAGCAAATCGACTGGTCAGTGGCAGCTACTGGCATCCACATGCAATGTTATACACTTGTACTTGGGTTTCAACGCAATTAATAGTTTAATATAACAACTGATTCTATCTAGTATGAGACTCTCAGTACGGATACTAGTAATAGAAAAAACAGGGGAAAAACGCAACGAACGCGGTGCTGGTGCATATAGGAGCAATATGTACCTAGGAAAAGTGGGGGCACATTGGCCACTCCTTTACCCACCTATTCCCTCCTCCACATCTCAGGCCCATACGTCCTCCTGGTAACGCCCAAACTTCTTCAGAGAGCCAACCCATGACTCTGCATCGGACAGGCCCAGTCCGCCCTCGGACTGGGCAATCTGGACAAGTGCGTCCTTGACGTCCCGGGCCATGAATCTCGCCTCGCCACAGACGTAAAAGTAGCCCTGGAGGTCATTAAGCCACTTCCAGACCATGTCCGCCCGCTCCCTCAGGCGGTGCTGGACGTATATCTTGTGAGGCTGGTCTCGCGAGAATGCAGTCACGATGGCGGACTCGGGGTTGTACTGGGCAAGCTGCGCAAATTGTGTTTCAAACTCAGCTTTGTACAAATAATCGTGCTCGTAGTGGCGGGCGCCGAAGAAGAGCACGGTCGCCCCTGTGGCCTGCTGGTGGATGCGCTCCTGGATGAAGCCGCGGAATGGGGCCACGCCAGTGCCAGGACCTATCATCACTACGGGCACGGTGTGGTCGGCAGGCAGACGGAACGACGAGGTACGGACATGTACGGGCACCCTGACTTGGCTTGTCTGCTCGGCGTCGGAGAAGAGCAGGTGCGTAACACTGTGTGCGCTCCCCGCGGGTTCTGAGGCCATCACGCCGCCATATATGCCGCCACTCCTGGATGTGTGCTTGTTGTTAACATAGTTAGTAATGGTGCTCAGATAGTTCGTCGCGACACCATAGCGCCAATTCTGCGCGTCGCCTTCTGGCTGGTAGCGAAGCACGACTGCGGTGATGCTGGGACGCTCGGGGCTAGTAGTTCCCGATGACGATATTGAGTAATAGCGGGGCTGGAGGCGCGAGCACAGCGATAGAAGGGCAGCAAAGGGCAGCACCAGACGTTCATTTTCGTTCACTCCAGCCAGCTGCTCTGCCAGACGCACCTCTGCAAGGAGGCCGGATAGGGTCAGCGCCTTTCCGACCACACCCTGTGCATACGCTTGTTTATCCTCGGCGAGCTGGGTGAGTAGGTCTCTTGCCACGGATGATTTGGCGTAGGGAAGCACAAACATACTGATTTGGTCTCTGGCCGGTGGACTGGTAATGTCCAGGTAATGGCGAAGGGCCGCACCATAAGTCGTGGTCGAGGAGGGGAATAGATAAGCGCTAGCGGCGTGTGGGTCCGTGTTCGTGACTTTGATTGCCGAGTCCGCCTTTGCCGACAGGCTGAGTGCCTCGAGAAGCTGCTGGACTTCCTCCTCGCGGTTGGTCGGCCACACTGCTAGGTGGTCGCCGGTGCGGTATTTCATCCCCGAGCCGCCTATGTTCACCTCAAGGTGCAGCACGTGGCGCTCGCCGGTCGGCGAGAGGTCATAGGCGGTGGGTATAGAAGCCATGTACGGATGCTTAGCGTCGTGTACATCTATGCTCTTAACCGTCATCTCACCGCGGCGCAACGCCTGGGCCGCGCTGTCATCGCCGACCTCTTCGACCTCTTCGACCTGCCACTCGAGCTCAGGCTCTGTCGATCCGCTGTCATTAGTCAGATCGGCACCGCCCTGCGAGGGACCAACCTGCAAGTGCTCGCAGATGATGGGCCAAATCTTGGCCTTCCAGTTGGTAAAGTCCTCTTCGAGATTCGCGTCGTCATCGCCTTCGCCGCATGGCATTAGTTGCTTGGCACCGAGCGCCTTCATGCGAGAATTAATGTGACGCATGTGTGCGCAAAACTGCTCGTACGTAGTGTTTCCCAGGCCGAACCCTAGGTAGGCGACGTTCGCGAGCGGGCGGTCAAATTCGACGCCGTCTATATCAGCGAATTCGGCGACCTCGCAGTTCTCCAGGTCCTCGGGGTCGGGCACCATTGCTTCGTACCACGCATGCATGTTGTCCGTTGGCTCGCCCTCACCGGTAGTCGCTAAGATCCAAACCAACACCTCCTGGCCCTTGCGGAGCTTGCTCAGGTGCTGGTAGTCATAGTTCTCCGGGTCAAATACGATCGGCCTTAGTCCCTTGGCGTGTGCCTCCCGCGCCAGCCGGTTCGCAAAGTCCTCAGCGGTACCCGTCTGCGATCCGAATATTATCACGACGTTCTTGTTACCCTCGCGCATCTTCTTGACAAAGTCTCGCTCGGGATCCAGCTCCTTGGGCGCCTCAGCAGTCTTCGAGTCATTACCATCCTTCTTCTTCACCTCTAACGAGGCAGGCCCGCCCTTGACGCCTGTCAAAGAGCTCAACAAAACCTTAGATAATGGCTTGCGAAGCAGGAATGTCAACACGCCCATCACCACCGTCGTGATGATCGCAATGTCGCTTATATCAATTTTAGCACTCGCGATCGCCATATCATCGACACCCTGCCTGCGGAGGTGCTCCTTGTGCTTCGTAATTAAGCGCTCACGTACACCTTGGACTGCCTGACGATACCTCCCAGGCAAGGAGAATAGCAGGTCTAGCGGATAGTATACCAGCCCCCAAAGCAGAGAAAGTGCTTGCAGCGACGAGGGCAGCGTGCCAGTCGAGAGTTGGTCTACTAGCGTGCCCGAGTATGTCGGCCTGTATGACCTCGGCAACTGTCGCTTGCTGTCAATCCCCAAAAGCGTTGCTAATGCCGCCTCTGTCGTGGAGCTACTGTTGGCGCGCCCTTGCTGATGTCCTTTCTTTATCGGGCCTTCTCCAGGAATGCCGGTAGTCGTTGTCGCTAGCGGCACTGAAACTCCCATTAAATGTGTGCCTCCCTGGCTGCTGGTACGTACAGAGGGAGGCTGGTAATTCCGAGATGAGTATATGCAAAAATAGAACGATAGGGTACTAATATGCAAAACATCGTGAGGAGCCTCGCCCTGGCCATACACAGCTTATAAACCGCTGCCGCCGCTGTGAAGGTGCCATTCACCAAGCAGGCATGATATACTGTGGTTACTCCACCGACCCCTTTCAGGATGGGCACTGATCAGTAGTTGATCTTCAGAGTGATACGGAATTTCCATGCCCCAACCTCACTGTCGTCCGATCGCCTCCATCAATATATTTCGACCTGTTGCTGCTTCTATAATTGCAACACTGATAATCGTGGAAAAAGATCATCACTATTTACGCTGGTTTCATATATAGAGGTCTGTTATGCATTAGCAGGTGATTTATGCAAGGCTGTGCATCACCATTGACTCTGAGTGCGCGTTTGTAAAGGCCTGTCATGCATACTTACTTAGCCAGATAATAGAACCTTAACCAAGCTAACCTCAAGCACTCGCAATGACCGCCCTCCCCTATCTGGATCAGTTGCGTACTGAAAGTTATATGTGCTAAAGTTGGCTTTAGGGGCGTGGGAACGGCGAGTGCAAGTATATACTGTTGTCAATGAGCCAAGCGCACTGAGGGTTGATAAAGGCGAGGTGTGGCCCACTCTTGCCCCACATTTATATGTGGCAAGGCTTGCGTGCACTCAATGTTGAGAGAAGGGGGAGTGAGATGGAGAAAGTGAGACAAAGCGAGACAAAGTGAGAGAGAGGGAGAAACAGACAGATGTAAGAGAGCGCGTCTGGCTTACAAGCAAGGTACTGTGGTTGGCCAGGGTCTGAGGGTACACGCCCGCTTGATGTAGCTTGCCTCAATTGACTTCTGAGGAGTTCTAATAACTATATATATATTTGTAACCGATTGAGTGCCGACTTGGTTGTATGGTGTAGTGGTTAGCACTCGAGACTCTGAATCTCGCGACCCGGGTTCGACTCCCGGTACGACCTTCGTT